TACGTACTACTACTACTCTCTCTCTCTCTCTCTCTCTCTCTCTCTCTCTCTCTCTCTCTCTCTCTCTCTCTCTCTCTCTCTCTCTCTCTCTCTCTCTCTCTCTCTCTCTCTCTCTCTCTCTCTCTCTCTCTCTCTCTCTCTCTCTCTCTCTCTCTCTCTCTCTCTTTCTCTCTTTCTTCCTCACCTTCACGCGCGCTGACAGAATTTGGCTTAAAAACTATACTGGAAAATAATGCGATCAAGGAGGACACGTGTAAGAAGAGCAAAGAAGATGTTTAGGGTTAGCGAAGATTAGGAAGATGGTTAGATGGAACATTAGGAAGATGGAACATGTAAGAAGATGGTTAGAGATGAGCGCTGTAACTGGGAGCGTCTGCGCAGAGTATGAGAGCATGAGCTCACACATGCTAGTATCGACATTGTATATATCCTGCACATATGTCAGTTTATGCTGTATACTGGATTTACTTTCGTAATAGATACTCTAATAATTTACCCCCAACGTTGACCTAAAATAAGTTTATAAACCTCAGGCTGGATAAACAAGCGTGATCCCCTCGTTATTCCATGTTAACATTCCACCACCATCCTAAATATATGGACAACAGATTCTCTTTTCACGTACTGCAGCTTTCCGCCTCTATGTTTAATAAAGAGAACAAGATAGTAGCCCTCCTAGAGGAGTGATAGATCAAGAGATTCAAGCTATTGTAGACCAAATTTTTGACACGAATAATCATCTTCACTGCATGCATGGGCTTCCCTATCAACAAAACCAAGTAAATCTACCATACGATCACACAGCATTTGCCGGCTTTAAGTTTAACATTCATCGATAATATTACACACATGTATCAATTCCTCTACGCGCTTCTCTGCGGGTGAAAACATCGGATGAAAAAGTTTCTGCATTTTCCAAACCAAGGCAACTTCTCAACTCAGTATCTTCTGGGTGACTATCACTGGTCACTGTTCACACTTTTCTCTTTAGTCTGTCACATCCATATGTCCAACCTTATAATCATAATTAAGTAGAGTAGTTTAAAACGTGAAAGCTAAAATTCATGTATCCCCGCGCGTGGCGTTATTACTTAGGTTACCGATTCGCGACGTAGCCAGCCATTACCGTAACAGATTATATAGAAGATTGTAATTTTCGTGTTGGGTGCACTAACTGTTTGTAATAGCAAACAACAGGATAGAAAAAAATCAATCCACCTCTGCCGCAAACGAGATGTGTTCATATTGTATTTGCCGGTTAGAGGCAGCAGCTGGTGTAGGGTTGCATCGGCCCCAAAGCATGCACTGCATCCGAAAGTTCGCGTCTATTTATAAATCCATAATACGCCTGCATCGTCCCACGCCACCGCCCATGCGTGTTGGAGTTGGAGGCTGTAGCCAGCAGCATCAGGAAGCTGTGAGTAAGTAGCTCCAGGGTCGAGCTGTGTTGCTGCTAGGCGATCATTGAAAGTGGCTAATGCTGTCTGCATGCAACCTGACTGCGCCAGCGGAAACCTCGTGAGAAAAACTGGATTTAAAAGGTTTCAGAAACAATAGCACGCAAGGTAGGATTTGGTATAGTAATTTAACGAGAACGTAATGCTCTTGATATTTCACGTGTGTATGCGTATTGTTAGTTTTTATTTTAGTTTTGCTGGATGGGTACATTAGGCAATCGGTAGTTCAGTACCACAAAAACTGCTGCTGGGCGTTTGGCCAACTTTAGCTTCACCATAAAGGCATTTACACACTACGCACGCAGGCACACACACATACACACGTGCACGCGTACACAAGCGCGTGCGCACACGTACACACTTGCGCTCGTACGTACATACATACTACGGGTCTCGGTATATAACGTCTGAGTAGTCGCTCCATTGATCGTTATAAGATGATAGTGTTGTTCACCCAGTAGGGATTGTTTGATGGGAATATGACTGCTTAGATGTGCCTCTAGGTATGACGTCACTGCCGATGAGCAGGCTGCTGCTGCTGATGATGACACTGGCGGCGTATGCGTACGGACGGTCCGCCGGACAAACGGCGGACATCGTGACTTCCTCTGGCCGACTGCGAGGTCGCGTCGAGGAGTTTGGTCGGACGAAGGTGCGCATCTTCCACGGAATACCATTTGCACAACCACCAGTCGGCAATCTACGCTTCAAGAAGCCAGTCACCGTTGAGCCGTGGCCAGGCGTGCTGGAAGCAACCACCATGCCGCCTGTGTGCCCGCAGCCAGAATCATTTCCTGACAGTCCCGAGGAATACGAGCCGAGGACGAACCGAAGCGAGGATTGCCTATATCTCAGCATAGTGGCGCCCGACGTGAACAGTAGTGACGCGCGTCTGTCCACCATGGTGTGGATCCACGGCGGCGCCTTCATGGTAGGTGGAATCAGCGTCGATATGTACAATCCACGCAACCTTGTCTTGTACACGAATGTCATCGTCGTGTCGATTCAATACCGCCTCGGACCACTCGGCTTTCTTTACCTCGGCAGCGACGATGCACCTGGTAGCATGGGCATGCTCGACCAGGTGCTTGCCCTTGAGTGGGTGAAGCAGAACATTGCTTCGTTCGGCGGAGACCCGGACAGCATCACACTGATCGGTGAGAGCGCGGGCAGCATGAGCACTTCCTTCCACCTTATGTCGCCCCTCAGCCGCGACCTGTTCAACAGAGCAATCATGATGAGCGGCAGTGCCATGATGCCCGGCGGGTATCACGAGCCCGATGACCAGAAGTCGCGCTCCGTGAAACTGGCGAAGTTCGTCGGATGCGACCATGACGACGAAGCAGAGATGGTCGCTTGTTTAATGGAGGTGCCGGCCAACGATCTCGCCACGGCTCAGCTCCACCCCGACGTGCTCGTTCTCGACAATGCTCTGGCCTCCCTCCTGGGCTTCGAACCCACGATCGACGGCAGCTTCTTGAAAGACGCGCCCGAGAATCTACTGAAGAATGGAGAATTCAAGCGCGCGAGCGTCATGTTCGGAACGGTTCGTGACGAGGGCTCATGGTTCATGTTCACCTCACTGCCTGCGCTGATCACACTCACAGACCCCACCAACGTCAGTGTCGACCTGTACGAATCGAGCATTCCGAAGTTGCTGCCAACGTACAGCGATGGCGTACACAAGGTAAACAAAGCGATGATGAGGGGGGTGGGGCGGGTATCGGCTGGATGGAATGATCTGTGACGGCGTGATGTAAGATGAGATGAGACGGAGTGGGATGCGGTGCGGTGAGTAAAACTGAGATGCGGTTGTGTGTGTGCGTGGGGAAATATGGTGTTTTGGTGTGGGATGAAGTGATGTGATATGACGCGTTGAGTGTTAGGGTGGAATTGGATGAGGTGGGTTATGGGCCTGCGAGAGATGAACTGGTGTGGGAGGAAATGGGAAGCGGCGGTGTGTGATGATTTGTGATGCGGTAATGTGAGGTAGCAAAACTAAGTATATCACTATACTAGCAATGATATCTTTTTATTATATCATTCGATCGAAAATTACATCTATGTTTTTTACCTTTATAAAACCTAGCGTTTTAGCATCGGCCATGATTACATGTGAAGTAAAGTGGTGAAAGACCTTTAGTAACTAAGGATTCTGCTGTGAATGCTATTCTTAGTTTTCTTCTATATTCGTCTGCGCACACGATAGCTCTACGCGCTACCATTCTCTATTGACACTCGAAATTGTCTGAAATTGCTTAATTCTTGTCGTAACTGCCTTCCCTTGGTCGCCTTGACCTATTCCTACTGGTTAGTTGCACAAGATCAATTCACAGGTATCCTCGTTATACGAATCCGGTTTAAGAGGCAAAATACTGAGAAGAAGAAGATGAGAAATTAAAAGACATCTTTCAAATATTCCCCTGATGTCGCTCACACATTTGCTGCAATATTGATTACATCGGCGTTTACAACAATTGAAAATTTACAGGTTGTCGAATTCACCTACACTGACTGGTCGTACGCGCCCACCTCCAGAAGCCAGTCTCTAATTGACATGATTGGTGACTACCACTTCGTCTGCCCCGCCGTTAAGGAAGCAAGCCGTTATGCGGACGAGGGAGAAAACGTCTACATGTACTTTTTCACACATCAGTCAACGGACAGCAAGACGCCGGAATGGGCTGGTGTGATGCACGGGGAGGATATCGCGTATATGTTCGGACTTCCGCCGGATGTGTCAGGCTTCACGATGTATGACAAGGAGGTCAGCAAACACATGATGAACTACTTCAGTAACTTCGCGAAGAGCGGGTAAGTGCGAGCTACCGACTCACTTGTGGAATGCTGCCACATATCATGATCAGCGCCTGTTGTCCACTCCCCACGTTGGCTCGTACTTGCTGCATATGGGTATCATTACATTCACATATCGCTCACATATCAGAAAATATCTTCTTATAGAATGAAGAGTGTATGAAAACATCGTTGTTGTCGTTGTTTTTTATCCACTCCTAATAGAATGTCTGTTTTCCATAGAGCCTGTACGTAAGCATCCTTATAGTGAATTTACACGAGAGTGTCAACATGTAAGATCAAGAGCTAATAATACCTTGTAATATAATTATTTGTATTATTAGCTCTTGGTAAGATGCACAGTAGTATTGCAGTCCCCATGACCTTTACCTACAGGAACGCCCCAAAAAAACGTTTTTAAAGTTGTTTAAATTATCTTTTCGTTATGAATCCCCTGCTCTGATGCTAAATGTTCTGGTTTCCGCTTCGCACCGTGTGGATGCGTGCACGCATCATTAGGCACAGTGATATAACATCTATAGGTAAATGCGATTGGACTCAGTAATTTTCTCCCTAGTTGCAGTAGAGTTTCGTAGTAGAAGCTCTAGGTTTATCGCTTGCGCTCTAACATATAAACTGTTACGCTCAGATTTGGTAAACATGCCGTTTGAAGCGCATGTCACGGCAGAAGATTTCTTTTTTTCCTTTATGCAACCCTCTGCGGTGAACTCTGGAATGGAAGTCCACCTGAGTTTTCAGCTACTCGTTCTGTTCGTTAGCGATGGACCGATCGCTTGAAGGCGCGTGCCAAGCTGGCCTCGCTGCTCCCTAAACTCATTAATTCGCTTAGGCAATTTCTTATCTTCGTCAAACCAGATGTCGATTTTCAAGTATGGAAACGAATTGCAATAATTACGTTTCCCTGTACCTTTGGGGTTGTTTCGATTGGATATAAACCATAACGTGTTTATAATCATATATTTTTGTGTCAGAAATCCGAACAAGCCTAGCCAAGTTGACGAGCGGTGGCTGGCATTTAAGGTTAATGAGGAGACGGATGGGCCTAAACGCTACTACAAGGAGCTAAGCACTAAGAGGAATGCTTGGGGACGCGGTCCCCGCCTGCGTGAATGTACCTTATGGAACGACGTCGTACCATTTCTGCAGCAGGAATCAGGTATATGATCATCCACTAAAGCGCCCACAATGATACAGGCGAAGCTTTATACGTTTTCCTTTAAGCAAACGAGCGATAACTGTTTTGTGACAGCGTGAGTTGGTGAGGAGGGTGCATTACTTCCTGTGATAGTTTAATTTCTTCGTGATTTGATAACTTGCGGGGAATCGAGTAAAAACACTTTTAACGATATTTAAATGAGGACTCTCGCCACCATTTGATGAGGCTCCTTAAATTATAGTTGCGATTAAACTCACACAGGCAATCAGTTTTAATTTACAAACATGTTGTTCGTTTCAGAGAGCAGTGGATTGGGAGTCACGCCAACAGTAATCACAATAGTGACAGCCGCTATGTCGACTCTATCGTTGATTTCGGTGTAAATGTTAACATTTGCGCCTATGCCTACGTCGCACTAACAATACATAACGAGCAATACATCACTAATTACGCGAATGGGATTTAACGCAATTTTCACATGGTAATTTACTTTCTCATTGGTGGAGTCGTTCTAAAGAGTTTTATTGAGATTGGCATTGACATACGGTGAGTTGTATACACTACAGAGGCATTATGAACATGAGTGGCAGTAACATGAGCAGGCACGTCGCCAGGCGGAGGCCTGGAAGTTCGGGCTTCAATATTATTTCCGTTTTTTTCATAAAGTATGGAATTAAACAGTTGCAATGTACTTTTTACTGTGTTTCAAATGTTAAAATTTAATTCGCGAGCGTACACCATTTTCCATATTTATCCGTAGCATTTCAAATATTTTCGGGGGATGCCCCCTGGACCCCCACCAGGGGGAGGGAGAAACCCCCTCACATACTCTCCCTCCTTTACGGCGCTTCGCGCCTTCTATTCGTCATCCCGCTATTCGTGACTGTTCTTTAACATTAGTCAATCTATGGCGACGGCCTTGGTGTGTGAGGCTGGCTCTTCGTATGGTCTCTCACACAGAATTTCCTCCGAAATCAAATAACTGCTTTTCTCTACTTTAATCATAGACAATATGTATAAGCCACAATTCAGTTAGGGTTAGGGTTAGGGATGTTGAAAACTATGTACTTTAGGAGTCGGCATTAAAATACTTATATATCTTATCGAATTCTGACTTAGATTTTAATCGATTGAATAAAGTACCTATTAAAAACAAAAAAATATGCTGTTTCTTAANTTTTCTGCGAAGTTTTTGTGCACAAGAGCAATCAGGGCCCCCCTCGACCGCAGGGGTAGACGAAGTTTTTGCTATAATTAAGCAGCACGCTGGGACGATGTAATATATGCAAAAATGCTGTACGTACGCTTTGGTAGTTTTCCATAGACTGAAGGCACGTCCAAGCTACAGGCACTTGAAGCGTTTCAATAGAATATAATGCTAACTAAATACACTCGCTGTATTTCATACGATTTCAAAACAAATACTCATCCAACAGTCCGTAAATGTATTTACTTAGTACAAAATTCTTAATGTTTCTATACTATAGGCTAGGCCTACTCTGTTTCACCTACGGATATTGACAAAGTTTTTAACCTGCAGAAACGTTTTGCGCGGTTAATTCTTAACATTCGTAGACCTTCAGACGCCCGCACTGATTCTGCTCTGGCAGCACATACGGCTGCTGCTGCTGACGCCACGGCGGGGTTGTTTTTTTGGCAGATAACATCTAGTGCAAATTCTCAGTCTAAACAAACATCAATCAACGGGCTTAGCCAATCAACGTGAGGGAAACCAAGATGGCTACGATAATTACAATCCCACGTCACGATTCCAGCTAGACTGGTACGGACCTTAACTCGGCCAAGTATCTTTCGCTACACTAAAGTTATAGTTAGTGCAGCGTGTGGAACTCTCCACCGCGGAGCAGTCTAAGCCGAATCGCCGATCCTTGTGTGGAAAATTCTCTGGAAAATCCCTCGAAGAGAGCCTCGTCGCGCCATCTATGGGACGCCATATGTACGAGAATAAGTTCAGGGCGTGAAACAGAAGAAATACAAACTCGCTTTTCTAGAGGAAAACCTAAAGCACCGACCAGCAAAGTAGCAATTACGAGCATTTGGATTTATTCTCGCCCTACGTGCATAGTCGAAAGGCTTCTGCAAGCGCCACAACTCCTCAATTGACCGATTATACGCCTTTATCCTATACCCAGAAGGGCCTCGGGAACATTTTTCTAAATAGAGGGCAGCGAATAAGTCATTGTGTCACCGCTACGCAACGTTTGCGCCCTTCGCGCAGATATCCGGGCTGCAGATCGTCGAGGTCTATGCGTGTGTGATAATAATAGGAATATATTGATTTGGTGCAAGCGTTTATCTATGGGATCGGGATTTTTGTTTCTATTCACTCCTGGCGAGATGTAAATTAATAAATCTATGCACGCTAATTTCAATATATAACGATCGATCCTCAGCCATCACGACAATGTTTTTCGGCCGATCTTACGCGCTTAAAAAGAACAGAGGCATGGCCTAAGGAGATGTGCGTAGTAAAGTCCGATCTCAGCTAATTCACTTCGGCGGCCCCGTCATTTCCTGCCGCTAGCCAAAGTTGAGGAATGTCGCGCATGTCGCTAATCGCCTTAGCCACCCAAGGAAATAATTTTCTGCCGATCTTTCGCGCCGTGACAGTGGCATGCCCGAAGCAGATGTGCATGGGAAAATCCGATCTCAGAATTTCATTTCGGACGCAGCATCCCCCACAAGCCGATGCTAAAGTACTTAAGCAATGGCGCACAGGTCGCACGTCACCTCAGTCACAAGACAAATGCTTTACAGCCGATCTTGCGCGCTTTGAAAAGACAGAGCTAGGGCCAAAGGAGATGTGCAGATCTCAGAAATTCACTTCGACCGCAGCATTACGCCATTAGCTTCCGTACATGTGCAATAATGCGTAGGTCGGTCGTTGCCTTAGCCACCCGCCATTATTTAAGCATACGATTTGTTTCGGTGTTCACGGATGCACAATATCTCTCGGGAAGAATAATATTTTGCAAAAATTATGTATTTAAAATGAAGAGGAATTATCCAAGCTAGATTTATGTGATAGCATTCCATCAGTAGACGTCACTTAAGAAATAGGAAAAAGACCTTGCTTGTAAGGTCCCCGCTGCATATGAAAGTTAGTGCACAATCTGGCTACAATAGTGTGTGAGCGCATGCGCAATATCTCGCTCGAAAAGTTATACTTTGTGATGAATATGCATTTAATATGGTTAGGGGGTATCTCAGCATATGTAGATTTATGTAATAAATTGTTATCTGTAGACCTGTGCTTATAATTAGATGACCTTCGGTCTATCGGACCTTCGGTCTATCGGACCTTCGGTCTATGGAACCTTCGGTCTATCGGACCTTCGGTCTATCGGACCTTCGGTCTATCGGACCTTCGGTCTATGGAACCTTCGGTCTATCGGACCTTCGGTCTATCGGACCTTCGGTCTATAGGGCTGTAACCGTTTCTCTACCCCTCCCCTTCTCTCTCTAGTGTTTGTGTGTTGGGGATAGTTGGGTGTTTGCATGCGTGCGTGAGTGCGTGCGTACGGGCGTGCGTGCGTGCGTGCGTTCGTGCGTGCGTGCGTCAGTTTGTGTGTGATGAAGGGCGCATATAGGGGGAAATTCTCTAGCTATATATCGTGTGCGAATAATGTACGAACAGGAAATACTTTTTCACAACAAGATCTCGTGGCATAAAGAACAGAATAAATTGGATTAAGTGTACTGTACGTCACAGGCCGGGTGACACAATAACACAATAACACAGTATACGTAACACAATTTAGAGTTTGTGATTTGATGGTTTTTTGGAAAGTTGCTAGCGCGTATTCGTTTTCTATTCTCTTATATCGGCAAACTCAAGATTTATCAATTACGATTTCAACATGTTTGGTGTAATTAACCTTTTTCGTATTCTAGCCTACAATAACCAATTATTTCTAGGTACTATACTCATGCAAATCAGCTATTCAGCGTTGAGAAAACGTTTTTATCGAATATGCAGACGTTTTTTTTTAGTTATTAAGGCAATTTTATTGGATTTCATTAAATTTATTTTCGACAATCAGACGGCTTCAGACATATAAGCAAGCGAGTAAACAAATTGTGAGTTTCTCGTGTTTCCAATGATAAAATGGTGCTACCGATAATCTGGTATAAAGCCAACATGCTTAATTGTTCCTCCACAATAACATAATTGCTTGTCCCTCTATTTGCTACCCTACTACGTGGTTCTTAACCTTTTTGGCCCTACGATCCCATCAGACATTCTTGGTCAGTACCGTGACCCCCGAAACAAAAATTGAACAAAACAGCCCGATTCATGAAACCATGTCTGCCAATACTCAGTCAATGGGATGGCTGAAATTGCTTCACAGCTATCAGGCGATCAACAAAATTTCGGGCAAGTTAAGTGCTTTGGGCTTGTGGGCAACCATATTTATGAGTCACTTGACCGACCCTGGCAACTTTTCAAACACCATCGGCACTAACAAATCTCCATAACTTTCCTCCGTCTTTCCTAAGGATCTCAGCCCTCGAACATGACTTTCCAAACTGTCATAGAATTCGCGAAGGCTTACTGTTGTGGTTGTTGGCTTGGGCAACTCCCACAAGGCCTTCGTGTATAGCTTGAGATCAGCATATGTGGTTGTCCGTAGCGCTTCTTGGGCAATTCTAACGCCTCCTTGTAGTTTGCGCTTGTTGCATAACTTTTGCTTTCTGCATAAGTTTCGTCATCTGTCCTCGATGCGCTCCTCTATAGTTGTCGTTAGCCTTCGCAGATCCATCCTGGTCACGGCACCACAATGTGGGGAATTGCACGTTCACGATAGAAGTAAGAGTAAAACAGTACTCGTTCTTTAGATTCCACGAAGTGACTGGTTTATTATAGAGCGCACGTCCTACACAGAGCGCGGTAACGTGTTCACATTATAATAATTTATGCATAACTTCAGCGCACGGCGTACGCGAGGCGGGAACTTCTTATGAATGTTTTTTATGGTCCATTGTATGTTAATTCGGGTTTCCCGACATCAGGTTCGAATACTGGTCACGGCCAAGCTACTCTGTAGCCATGTCACGGCAGGAGATTTCTTTTTTTTTCCTTTATGCGACCAGACAACACGAGTGAAGAATGTTCTGAAGATTTTACACAATCCTTTTCAATTCTATTGTCTTTCTTCACGTAATGTTATTTACTAAATATTACGCTAGTGTAGGTTATCATAGCACATCACCCTCCATTGAAATTAGTAACAACCTCAGAAAAAAATAAAAAACTGGATTGCGCACATGGGCGTTCAGGGGCTTGAACCCTGGTGCTGCCTGTTCAGTGACGACTGTACTTAGCGAAGTACCCATCGTGCCTAGCCAGCTCGTTGCACTCCTTTTTAATAGCATATATCGATAAGCCCGAGCTGTGATAGAAATAGACTGTCACTGATATTTTTCTGTTTGCCAGCCTGCTACAGATTGCACAATAATCGCGCCGCTATGGTGCAGACTATATCTGATAATCTGTTCTCTAGTGAGACGCATTTCGTCATCATGACGTCACGGTGCTTGGCGCTTGGCGCGAGGGAAGAGAGGGTGAGAAGATATCTTATCCATGCGCCATGAACAGAATAATACCAAACCTACGCATTGACATTTCCAAGCATTCCACCAATAAGTATACTAGTACTGTCTGGCACAATACGGTTTAATGAGATGAGAAATCCTGGAGAATTCTCACTCCCGGCTTGAGGCAGCGTGCGTAAGATCGGGACAGTTGTATAGGGTGGGCATATGTTTCCATGAACCAAAGTATCCTCGTGACGTACACTGACGTCACGCACGAACTCGGCTATCTCCGAAGTTGAATCACTGATCTCTACTATACTACGGTTAGTATAGTAGAGATCAGTAAGTTGAATGCATACAGCCTGCTGATGGTGCTGGTGGTTGCGCATATGGTAATAATTATTCCATACTACCAAGACTGGCAAGAGCTAATAATACCTAATTAATAAGGTATAATTAGCTCTTGACGATCTGCAGCCCGGATATCCGCGCGCAAGCTGCGAACACCCCGCGGCGCCTTTTCATCGAATTCGCTGCTCTGTAATTAGAACAATTTCACGGTTCTGTCAGATCGGCCTGTAATCGGTCAATTGAGGAGTTGT